AATCGGAAAATTCAAAGAAATACTGCTAGCTGTGCTGATGACGACTGGCTTGATCTCATAAATTTTGCACTCCCTTTTCTGTAAGCGCTGATGTCACACCTGTTTCCGGGTTCGAACTTTTTCAGTGGGTCGAAATGATCGGATTAGGTCAGGCGAATATGGGTCTGTATTTTCCTGTTTTGGGCTTCTTTGGGCCGTTCTGTTTTGGGCAGGCTGGAGGGTCTTGCAATTATGGTTTTTTTTTTTAAAAAAAAAGGTAATGGCTTGCAAATATGGTTGGATCAGTACTAACTAATTAAAAGGCTTCATCAATAAAATAAAATAAAAAGTAAAAATTGCAGAAAAATATGACATATTATTATTTTTATATAAGTCTCATTTAAATTTTAATATTATATATATTTATTTAATAATACATCATGTTTATTCAATAATATGTTACAATTATATTCATAAAATAGATGAGACATAATATAAGTCTAACTTAAATTTTATTTATTATATGATTGAAATTAAAATGTATTGATATTTTTATTATCATAATTTTTAATTTTCACTTTTTTTAAATAAGAAGTCTACATAAATTTTTGTTTTCACTACTTGAACCCAACCCCATTCCCATCATTCTTCTCTCTCACTTTTCCGTTGAATTTTATCGCAACAATGTACTTTTAAAAAAAAAATTCTTTTTTGGGAAACATTGTTGTTGTAACATTGTTGGGAAAAAAAAAAGAAGATCAACAAGAATTTAATCAAGTTGATATTCATTAACTTAAATATCTTAATTAAATATTATAGTTAGAAATTTAATTTATGTAATACTAAATAGTTAATTTTTTTTATTTTTTTAAAAAAGTGTTGTTCTATGGGGACCATTTTTTTTTTATTTTTTTTTATACCTTTTTTATCTCTTTTTATGTTTGTGACTGTTTTCTATCTTGCGTTTTTCATGTGTTTTAAAAGTCTCTTTTTTTTATGTGACATCAAGTTATATAAAAAGTAAAACAAAAAAGTTGTACAAAAATAAAAAAAGGGCACAATCTTAGGTCTTTATGGAATATAAATCACAAATTAAAAGCATAAGTGCTAAAGAAAAACTTAAGATACATAAGATGAAGCACACGGCAAACTAGATACATTATGATTTATGAAGAGGGATGTAATAAAGAAAAATTAGTAGCTTTCTTCCTCGGTTGGGATGGGATGATGAGATCGGACAATGAAGAAATTTTCATAGATAAAACCAGCGAGAGCACCACCGATGAGTGGGCCGACCCAGTAAACCCAATGATCAGTCCAGTCCCCACTCACCAAAGCAGGCCCAAAAGATCTAGCCGGGTTCATCGAGGCCCCCGAGAAGGCTCCGCCAGCCAAGATGTTGGCCCCAACCACGAACCCAGTCAGCAACGGGCCCAGCCCATCGATGGACCCTTTCTTTGGGTCCACAATGGTCGCGTAGACGGTGAACAACAGGGAGAAGGTCAAGACGATCTCCCACACCACTCCCTGGAGGTATCCAACTCCGGCCGCCAGAGTGTGAACCGGAGTACCCAGTCCTCCGGTGAGATATTTGAGAAGGATACAGGCAACTGAAGAAGCCAACAACTGATCGATCCAGTAGAGAACAGATCGGAAAACAGTGATGTGACCGCCAACAAGTAAGCCAAGGGTGACGGCGGGGTTAAGATGGCCACCGGATATGCGTCCGGCAGATATCATCACGGCCACCACAAGCGCGTGCGCCACCGCCACAGCAAACAACCCCAACAGCGCACCCCCCGCTAGCTTATCTGTACATCAAACAAAATATACAAACCCATTCCAATTCGAGCTCTAGGAAAATCAAGAAATAAATAAAATCATATATTTGTCTATATTTGCGCATGGTGTTAATTAATTAATTACCAGCAGCCATGGCAGATCCAACTCCAGCAAAGACAAAGAGGAAGGTGGTGATGAACTCAACAACGAGGGCCTTGATGCAGTCGGGCTGCGTGGCCTCTCGGCTTGTTCCTAGAGCGATTTTCGCCATTTTCAGCAGATGAGAGAGTTGTCTGGAAGACTGATGGATATAAAATAAAGTCAGGACTCACTAAAAGACCATGCCCTATAAGAGCAAAGCTCCATGATGTCCATATATAAGCAATTATTATTCCTCCATTATAACTAGTAGTCTAGATAACAATAATTTTCTTCATTTTTTAGCTGCTTCGAGATTAAAATTAAATACAAATCATAAAATTATATATATATATATGGTTAAAATCCTTTTTTGGTCCCTGAACTATTGTATGGACCCCCGATTTGGTCCCTGAACTAAAAACATCACTGATTTGGTCCTTACTGTTTACCATTTTTACTCCGATTTGGTCCTTCCGTTAAAAATCGTCCATTAACTCACAGATATATCAAAAATTTAAGCCACGTCAATGTACAACTAGATAAATGATGACATGGTCATACCTAATGCAAAAACAAAAATGGGGCCCACCAAATTACAATTTTGCATCATCTTCTTCCTCCAGCATCTTCTTTCTCAAATCTTCCTTCATTCGCACAACCAATTCAATCAAACAATCAATTCAATATCGAACCCAACAAGTGCCCTTTTTTTTTTCCTTCCTCTTCCTTGCCTTGTCTTCTTCATCAATCAATTCTTCATCTTAATCAAACAACCAAACCCACAAAAAAAAAAAAACAAACAGAAATTTTTTTGTCCCTAAATTCGAACGAACCCAGCTCTTGGGTTCCTTCGAGAACCCAGTGCTCAGATTCAAGAAGAAACCCAGTGCCTGGGTGCAAACAAAACCCAAGCGCCTGGGTTCGAGAAGAAACCCAGTGCCTGGGTTCGATCGAACCCAGGCGATGGGTTCCTTCGAACCTAGCTGGGGTTCGGCTGGGGTTCGACGGATGAACCCAGGCGACGAACCCAGGTGAACCCAGCACCTGGGTGGGTTCGAAGGAACCCAGGCTTGCTGGGTTCTGAGGGGAAGGAGAAAGAGAAAGGGAAAGGGGAAGGAGAAAGAAAAAAGAAAAAAAAAATTTAAGTTTTATTTTTCATAATATTTTTTTATATTATTTTTTTCCACATCATTACTTTTTGGTTATATTGCCTTCCATGTGGATTACTATATGACATGTCATCTGGTAACCGTTAAGTAACAGGTCACGTCACACAATTTTTAACGGAAGGACCAAATCGGGGTAAAAATGGTAAATAGTAGGGATCAAATCAGAGATTTTTTTAGTTTAGGGACCAAATCGGGGGTCCGTACAATAGTTCAGGGACCAACAAAGAGTTTTAACCTATATATATAAAAGACAAAAAAAATGCATGTTGCTAGTTGACTTCGCTCACACAATGTATTATTAAATGATTGAATGAAAATATAATATTTTTAAATAAAAAATTAATTATATAATAATATATTGTAATTACTAACTTAAAATGGCTCATGATGTAATATTATAACTATATCGATTTTGGAAATTACTCGTTTACACGTCTTGTGATGTTGAAATCCCACGTTGGAAGGAAGTGTAACAAATAAATTAGGAGTTTCTTGGACTAGCTAGTGGGGTTTTGGCTCGAATTATTTAATTAATCCAATTGATGATCTCACAGTATAGTTACATTAATTGCCATGTTGATCACCATCACAAAGTAAATGGTTAGGTTTTTAGCCTCCATTTATTGAGAATATCATACGCTTAACTTGATAATTAAAGAGAATTTTTACATTGATTAAAAGAGTTGTTAAGTCACTAGAGTTTTAACATGGGCTATTTCAACTTTGTGTATTTGTTAATGCAATAGTAGAGAAAAATAAATAAATAAATAAATAAAATAAGATTATATATAAATTTTTTTTTTACATATGCCATAAAATTACATATTAATAATGTAATTAATATATTTTTTAATAATTAATTTGTATTGAAAGAATAAAAATTAACTTTTAATTTATAAATTGTCCAATTAAAACTATCCGGCTAGTATTGATACTAAAACACAATCATATATTATACAATTAAAGTTTGGGCTGATGAGCTTTGGTAAATGCTAACCCATATTCATATATTATATACAAAAAGTATTTTTTAGTACGATGAATTGTACTTTTTTTCAGCTTGGATATTAAAATTATCTAAATATTTTTAATAAAATTGCCATTTAAATTCCTTTATTAATGATATTTTTTATAATTTTAGTATCTAAATTGTTTTAAAAAAAAGAGTATAGTCTATGCTGAAAAATATATCTTTCTCTATTATATATATATTGAATGTTTTAGTGCATCACTAATTAAGCTTAGACTTACTGAAACGGCTAGGAAAATCAATGAGAAGAGCTTGATATAAACAAATGGGAGAAAAAGATTATTAATAGAAAAAGGGAAAATTAGATTAAAAAAATTAAAAATATCCCAATGGCATTAGAGAAAATGGAAACTATGGATCCATAATCGGTGAAAAGTATTTATTAATTAAGGAATTTTTTAATTTGTATTTTTAGATCACATATTAAGAGTGTAATAATTATAATTTTTAATCATTAATTTATATAAAAAATAAAAAATGACTTAAATTTTATTATCTATACAATTAAATCATTTTACATGGGATTAGTGTTGAAAAATAAAACTTTCATAGTTTTCTATACAAATTAATAGTTAAAAAGTATAATAAATATACTCTTAATATATACACTTAAAATACAAGTTAGAAAGATCTATTAATTAATTACCATATTTTTGTTTCTACAATAGCCTAAAGATTTTTAAAAATGATATAATTAGTAATTTACTTATAATATTATATATATTTATTAATTTAATAACATATTCTATTAATAAACTTATAAACTTTACATAATATTATAATTATATCATTACATAATTTTTTCTTTTGTAATTCATCCCAAAATACGGATGCCACTTTGTAGCAATTATTTATTAAATTTTTGTTACTAATATTTCGGTATCTGAAAATTATATTAGATCTTAACTAACTTAAAATCGAATTGCATTAAACCTTACAAAGAAAGACTCTTTTAATATCTATTTCTCTATTTACAAGATTCAAAATTGTGATCTTATTTAAAAAAAAAAAAATCAAATTTCTTTCATTCAAACCAACATACCATTTATATTATTTATTAATTTAAAGTCAAGCTTCTCTCTCTTCTTTTATTGGTGGTTAAATTTACGTACATGCAATATCCGGAATTAAGCAACACTCTATATACGTCTACGCCTCAACCTTTTTCATTTCTAAACCACGTCCATGTGGCCATTAATCTTGCCACTTAATTAAGACTTAATCAATCATGTTCTCCACACATCATGAGGTAGCGAGTATCTACTCTTAATAGGATTAATTAATCGCACCTTAATTAAAATAGTCCAATCTAAGCAAAATTACGCACAAAAGAGGTGTGCATGATGATTATATATGGATCGATCCCACCAAATTCTAAAGCAAAATAATGAATTATGGGAATCGCTTTAAGAAATATTAATTTCAAATTAAATACCCATGGATTTATTTTAAAATATTTTGTTTATTTTAAAAGAAAAAAATAATTGATATTTTTTAATTTAACACATCTGTTAATACACACTAATTCAATTATTAAATTTTTTAATTAACAATCTTTTGTATTGAATTTAAATTTTAAAATGATAATTTTTAATAAATATATTATAAAATATGTTGATTTAACCATTGTATTAATCATTATCCTTTTAAAAAATATTGAATTATGAAGAATCCGAAAAGTAATGAATCATTGGAGAACCCGAAAAGTAATGAATCATTGGAGAACAATAATTCCATGACATTGGTCAATTAATATATATATATATATAGTTATTCAAAAGAACATTGAAAATTGCCTATTAATAACAAGAAATACGTGGTATTTTCACTATCTCCTTGCTTCCCTTTTGCTAGCTAATTTGTATTATTATTATATTTTTAAATGGATTACAAATCATTCTAATATTTTAAGGGGAGTGAGAAATGTGTTATTCGAAAGAGTCGAAACTCAAACTCAAAAGTATTTTCATTTAAAAGGCAAGTAGTTAACTATTTGATATGAGGGAACAAATAATTTATGTTTTCATTTTATTTTTTGAATATGGAGGAATTTTGAGAAATGAGAGATTCTTTTTAATTCATTAATGAGAGTCAAGTTCTGATCAATTAAATCTATATGCTAAAATTTGAAAATGAAAACGCACCATTGAGTATGAAAACTCAGTGTAGCTAATTTGTGTTACTTATTTTGCAAATTTAGGGAAAAAGTAATACTCTTGAGGTTCGATCATAAATTCATAATTCATGAACAAGTACCGTCCCTATGCCCCACCACCAAGAAAAAGCTGAATCCTGCGTTAATATCTTACTGAAAATTAAGTTAAGTATATTCAAAAGCTGATGAAGACGGTTGTATGGTCCTCTTTGAGTTATCTTTTCCATTATTCTCATTCTCCTACGGTTCTACCATTTTTTTTTTTGTCCCATTTTTTGTCATTCACACAGTGAAGAAGGATCTAGAATTAAACTCAGTCCAAATTCTTAACATATATATATATATATATATATATATATATGAAGATTGAGGAATTTGGAGGACAGGGGATTTTTTTTTAAGTTATTGTAGGAATCAAACTTTTGAGAAACTAAATCTAAACACTTAAGATTTAAAGATGAATCATTGAATCTGAAAAATTATTTTTTTTTTTTGAATATTCATGAAACTGAATATTTAACATATTTGAAAAATAAATTCTTCAAGAAATAAATAAGAATAAGGAAGTCCACACATCATATTGTTGCCCAAGATATAATATAATCTGTCATCTTGTTCATCATGAGTACCCCACCATGTGCTCTCACACTACAATAATTACAAACCAAACCAATAACATAAATAGGAAGCAAAAAGGTAGGTCACGTTCAGCCAATTAGAGTTTGGCTAACTTGAGATTTAATTGCCTGGGCCAAATTTGGATTGCAAATTTGGAATATGTAAAAAAAGGTACGTTAAAATCTATGCAAATAAATTAAATTCACAAGTTTATATGAACAAATTAAAATTTGACAGTAGATGATAATGGTAATCAAGAATAATTCACTTGGAATAATCTCCTCTATTTTGGAAGATTTTCTTCATGAATCACAAATATTGAATTTGAAGATTCAAGTATATTTGGCAATAATAATAATAATAATAATAATAAAGAATATTCAAAGTATATTATCTTTATCCCACACACATGGGCGTGGGAAATGTACTCAGCAACCTACTCTCTGGTTGTGCTGATGTTTAGTCGTATTACATAAAAAAAAAAAATTAAAGATACAATAAGATATAGTACCCTTTCTCTCCTCCAATATGTAGTAGTCAATTATAGTTTTTGGATTTATGTTCTTTATTTTAACTAGAGAATCTCATATTAATGCTATAGAAAAGCAGCCTGGTTGGACTCCAATCCTTTAACATTTTTTTTCTTTTGAAAAAAACAACTTGCTCAAATTGGTTCTAATTAATTACTACTGTAAGCATCTTGATTTAGAGTCAACAATTTATAAAAAATAATATAGTTATAATTGTAAACTTACAATGACAAATGAGTGATATTGAAGATTAAACAAGTGGATAATATCACTCATGGCATTTCAAATAAGAAAAGTCAATTATATAACAATAAATTATCATTATAAATTTATAATACTGCATAATATTATAAGTATTTTATTTTTGGGTAGTGATATAAGATGATCTTTTTATATAACTTTTTTTATACAATTTTTATATGTCATTTAATAAGTGAATGCACTCAATATTATGGGTTCTAAATGAATAAAAAAATTAATTATTTAATTGACATATAAAATTATACTTAAAAATAATACAAAAGGATTATCCCAATATCATTTTCCTTTATTTTTTGTTGTCAAATTAGCATCTATGTTAAGCATCTGACTTGCATTCTTGCAATGATAAAATAATAATAATAATAATAATAAAAGAATTTAAGCCGGACATTGTGCCCCTCAAGTTATTTTTATATGTTATTAATAAGTGAATGCACTCAATATTATGGATTTTAAATAAATAAAAAAATTAATTATTTAATTAAAATATAAAATTATACTAAAAAATGATACAAAATAATTATCTCTATGTCATTTTCTTTTATTTTTTGTCGTCAAATTAGCGTCTATCATGTGAAGCATCCGACTTGCATTCTTGCAATGATTAAATAATAATAATAATAATAATAATAA